CCCAGCCATGCCCACGGCAGCACCCCCTGCAGCCACCCCCCCGGGTGGGTGCTCCCCGTGTGCCAAACAGCTCCGCGAACAGGCGCACTGCGGGGACAAACTGGAAGGACGGCCCCACCGGCTGCCCTCAGCGCGGTAAAGCCACGGGGAGCAGCAGCAGGGCAACGGCTCACCATTTCTGGCATGAATTTTGCACTGTTATCGTTCCCTGGGTGTCCCTGGAGCACACAGATGAAAACATCACCTTTTGTTTGAGAAAATCATCGCTAGCTATCCTGACTGCAAAAAAAAAAACCAACCCTTGAAAACCTATGTCCTAAAGGCTAAAACAAAAAATCATGCACGACAAAATCAACACACAAAATCTGTTGCTTTTCTTTTTTTTTTTATGGTAGGGAATTAAGACACCTTCTTAACGAGGGAGAGGTTTGACGTTTCGACATTTCAAGGAGCAGCACGAAAGAAATTCAAGGTTACGTGGGCAGCTAAGCCAGCGCGAGAGGATACACGTGTCAGCGCCGCCACCACCACTTGTGTGTCAGGAAGGGCACTTGCTCAAGCAGAAGGAAACACCAGCTAAGCCGACACAAGCCTGGGCCGTTCCTGCGGAGCCAGCCAGCCTTGCAGAAAAACGAGTCCACCCTGCAATTTTCACCTACGGCTTCTGCAGATAAGGAAGCAGGCAAGCCCCTGCACGGGGAGGGGGCGTGGGCACTTACGGAGCTGATGAAAGCCAGTCCATTGGGGAGGATGTCAATGTCTTCTGAACCAGCTTCTGCAAGACAGAGAGAAACAGGGGTTTTCAGAGATAAACAGGGGTTTTCAGAGATAAGCAGGGTTTTTCAGAGATAAGCAGGGTTTTTCAGGTGACTTTATTTCCCTTTTTAGTACAATTCCAGCGCTCGGGAGCGTCCCTTTCGGATACGACTGCACCGGGCGATGAAGTTGGGCGGAAAAAGCTCGCACCGCGTTAGAACTGGCAGCAGAAGGCAGCAGCACGCCCGGTTGGGGAACGGCACGGGGGGTCACCTCCTTCTGGGGGCTCGGGGTGCCTCCAGCCCAGCTCCCTGAGCCCCGGGGCGGCGCGGGATGAGTCACCCACTTTTGTCCAGGGTGTTCTGCAGCAGGGGGTTGGCGCGGAGGAGGAGGTTTTCTGGGCAGGACCGTACCCATCACAGCCCGCACGCTTGCACGAGGCAGCTCTGGGAATTGCACACACGAGTTCCCCGGGTTGAGCTGCGACACTTCACTGCGATGGATTGCCAAATATTTAGTTAAAGCTCTCAAGTGACAGGGAGCCTGCTGTATCTTTAACAGCTCAGGGCTTTAATAGAGACCACGCTTGTAACTGCAGGTTTTCCTTTCCAATATTGCCAGTTCCCCTAATAATTCCTGTAATATTTTTCCCTGCTAGGAAAATAAATACAATAACATAAATAAAATAAATGAAATCAAATCCCTTCAGTAAGAACACTAGAGCAATATCAGGCTCTGATCAAGCACTCTCCATAGAGCTTCCAGCCCGATGCCGAAGCACGTCTGCCATCCCACCCCCTCACCGCTCCCCGGGCAAGCCTCCCCTCTCTTCTCCCAGCCACCAGCACAGCC